CCTGACTCCAGGCCCAGCACTCCATCCATTGATTCACCTTGCTGTGTGAGAAGGGGGAATCGAAACTCAGGTTTCCCTAGCTCTGAGTCTGGCTTACTCTCCACCACTTCTCTCCCTAAAGGAGAATAAAATAAGGCTGGAAAAGAAGATTTCAGACAGACCAGAGGTCCTGAATTTGAGACTCAGATGGGGCCTGGCACCCATCATGACCAACACAAATCCTGCTATGTACCATATACCGTAAGTGGTATCAAACCAGCCTTTACTTGAAGAGCTTTCGTGATGGGGAACTTACTACCTCTCCTGGGGCTCAGCCTTAATTGCTAGGAAGTTTTCCCTGACATCGGATTGAATTCATCCTCTTCTAACTTCTACCTGTGATTCCTAGTTCTGCCCACCCAGACCAAGGAGAACAAATCGAATTTGTCCTTTACATAAAAACACAATCATCATGCCCTCCCTGAATCTTTTCTCTTCCAGTTAAACACCCACTCATTCTTATTAAACAGGAGCTCATCGTTCTGTTTGGTGCCTTTGGACGCTCCCCCAACTTCTCAATGTCATTCTTAAATTGTGGCACCCAGACCAGAACGTGTTCCTCCAGATGAAGCCTGATGAAGGCAGGGTGCTCCCTGTTCCTGGAAGCCAGCGCCCACTCCATGGAGCTCAAAGATTGCATTAGCGCTTTTGACAGTTTCATCATATGACTGATTTATGTTAAGCTTGTGTCCATTAAAGTCCCCATTACTTTTTCCACAGCAACAGCTGTCTAACTATGCCTTCCCCTTTTATACTTAGGAAATTGAGTTTTGGTATCCAAGTGTAGGGCTTTACATTGATTTCTGTTAGATTTTGTGTCATTAGATTCAGCCCAATGATCTAGCCTATCAAAATCTTTTTAGATTCTGATTCTATCATCCAATATGTTAGTTATCTGCCCCCTCCTTCCAGCCCCAGCCCCATTTTGTGTCATCTGCAAATTTGATGACCATCTCCTCTGTGCCTTTATGCAGATCACTGATTAAAATCAGCCCAGGACAAGCCTGGAACCCTGAGGGATTCTACTAAGGCCAGCTAGGGAGCACAGTTGGTAGGGCCCTGAATCTGGGGTCAGGAGGACTTGCATTTGAATCCAGACTCAGACACTTACTATCTGTGTCAAGTCACTTCATCCCTGTTTGCCTCAGTTTACTCAACTGCAAAATGGAAATAATGATAACACTTCCCTCTCAGTGCTGTTGTATAGACTGAATGGGAATACATTTGTAGAGTACTTAGCACAGTGCCTGGCACATAGTAGGTGCTATATAACTGCTTATGGGTCAGTCGGATGGTTGAATGGATAAAGTACTGGGTATGGAATCAAGAAGACCTGAGTTCAAATTCTACCTCAGACACTTACACTATTTGACCTAGTCACTTAATTTCTGTTTGCCTTAATCCATGGAAGAAGGAAATGGCAAACCATTCTAGTATCTTTGCCAAGAAAATCCCATGGACAGTATTGGTGTGCTATGTCCCATGGGGTCATGAAGAGTTGGCTATGATTGAACAATAACAAATGCTTATGTCCTCCCTCCCCTGGAGATCTGCCTGGTACCATGTTGGTATTGAATCACTAACAGCTAATCTTTGGGTCCAGTCATCCAGTGATTTCTGGATCTAAGTAATTGCTGTTCCACATCTCTCCACCTTCTCCATGAGAATAGTACAAGATTCTTTACTACAAGTTTTGCTAAAACTTAGGAAAATCTTGTCCACAGCATTTCCTCCCAAAGAATGAGTAATCCTGTCAAAAGAGACAATGAACTTAATGGGGCCAGTGGTGTTCTGAATGATACCAAGCTGGCTCTTTGTAATTACCACTTCCTTCTCCACATGTTGGCTAATCTTTTATCATCCACTCTAGAATTTTCCCAGGAATGGAAGCCAAGCTCACCGACCTCTGGAAGACTCTGATGTCATCACTTTCTTGAAAATGTGGACTGCATTGTCCCCTTTCCCACCTTGTAGGCCATTGCCATCTTCCATGATCTTTCAGATATCACTGACGGTGACCTGGCAATCCTATCCACCACTTCTTTCAGCACCAGAAAATATTGTTCACCTGCGCTAGATGGCTCAGTGGACACAGCACTGGGTCTGGAGTTAGGAGACCTGAATTCAAATTTGACCTCAGACACTCCCTAGCTGTGTGACTCTGGGCAAATCACTGAACTTCTGTCTGCCTCATCTGTAGAATGTGAACAATAATAATACCTACATTTCAGAGCTGGTTTGAAGATCAAATGAGATCATATTTGTCAAGCACTTAGCACCGTGCTTCGCACATAGTAGGTGTTTCATAGATGCTGTTTTCCTTTCTTAGTATCTCTGTGCTTATATTAAAGACCAACTTCATGCTAGTCAGAATGGTTCTCTCATTTCTGGTGTGAACCTGAAATGCCTGATTGAAGAGTGTGTTTGCATTTTATCCTGCAGACCACGGGGAGCCACTGAAGATTTTGAGTTCAGAAGTGACGTGGTCGTGCCTTGGTCACAGAAAGATTATTTTGACAGCTAGGTAAGGAATAGATTCAAGAAGAGAGAGCCTTCTTGGAAGAAGAGAGACCACTTAGGAGGCTACTCGGAGAAGTGATACGGACCTGAGAGTTTGGGTGGAAAAAGAGGGGAGTGGTTCGAGAGATGCTGTGGAGTTGAAATCGACAGGACTTGGGGATGAATTGGATATCGGGGCTGGAAAGGATGGAGGGAAGAAGAATCTGAGATTCTGAATCAGGTTGGCTGATTGTCCTCAAAAGAAGAAAGGAAGTTTGGAGGAAGGGCAAATTTAGGTGGAAAAGAGGGATTCTGTTTTGGAGGCACTGAATTGGATGCAGCCTGTGGCAGTGGACTGCAGGGTACGGAACATCGATATGGATTTGAGCTCAACTCCCACATCAGATACTTACTAGCTCGATGAATCTGGGCAAGTCACTTTTATACTAAAGAAAGTAGCTAGCATTTAGATAGCATTTTAATGTTTGCAAAGCACTTTATGTCATCTCATTTGGTCCTCGTAATAACTCTGTGAGGTAGGTACTATGATTATTGTCCCCATTTTGCAGATCAGGAATCTGAGGCTTAGAGAAAGTAAGTAACTTGTCTAGGATTACACAGCTAGTTAATGTCAGGGGCAGTATTTGAACTCAGGTCTTCCTGACTCCAAGTCCAGCAATCCATCCACTGTGTCACCTAACTGTATACTTAATCACTCTGGACCTCAATTTCCTCATGCATTAAAGGAAAGAGTGGATATAATGCTCCCTAAAGTCTCTTCAAACCCTAAACATGTCATTCTATGTGCCACAAGGTCACTGAGATAGAAGTATCCAAAGGGCAGTTGGAGATGTCAGATAAGAATTCAGGAGAGAATTTAGTATTGTTACAAGTATAGACTTGAATATCGACAGTAAAGAGAAGGGTATTACACACATAACTGATTGGGATCACTGAGACAGAGCGGAGAGAAACAAGGCAAGAAGAAAAGGACCTTGGGGGGAAACCAGCACTTAGGGATTGGAAGATGATTGATGAGTCAGGAAAGGACACTGAGAAGGAGGGAGCAGAAAGACAGAAGAACCAGGATAAGAACAGTGTGGAAGCCAAATAGAGGGGAAAGTCTTCATTGGGAGGGTCTGGATAGCAGGGTCAGAAGGCCAAGAGAAACAAAGAAATGTGAGGACTAACACAGGACCATGAGATGGTGTCCAGAGCATGTAGCCTGTATGTAGCATCTCACTCTTGACTTAGCCCTCAAATGACAAATTACATTTATTCCTGCATCCCTCTAGTCCATCTCCCTGTCTCTGTTTTGGTCTGCCATAAGACAAGCAAGGGCAGCTTTAAGAATCAAGAGGAACCTTTCATCAGTGATGAAACACACCTCAGGCAATCAGGGGACTGACTCTTATGGTGGTATCTGGGTTTTCTACCTGTGACTCTTTCTCTATTTTACTTTCTGTGCTGGCCAGTGTCTATAAGCCAGTGAGGTTGTGGCCCCTTCACCACTGTCCCTGGTCCTGGTCCAGATTGGCAACATTGCTCCCTCTCTGTAAAATAAAGTGGAGAAGGAAAACACAAACCATTCCAGTAACTTTGCCGAGAAAACCCTGAACTGGGGTCACAAAGAATTAATGCACACAACTGAAAATGACCGAACAATAAAAAGTTCAGTTTAGGGGTCAATGTAAAATCTGAGAAAATGAAAGTGAAAATCCTAAACTATAAGAGAATAACTCGGGTTGAATTCCATTTAGCAAATATTTATTAAATGTCTGCTGTGTGATACATACTGAGGACACAGAGATAAAAATGAATACTCCATCCTCCTATACACATACACACACATACACATCAGAGCACATGTGCTTACACACACACACAGTAAAACATAAGCTTCTTGTAGTGAGCTCTGGCTTCAAATTCAGTACCCTGTTTTATGCGAAGTCCTGCAGGTGAGAAATGACAAGATGAGCCTGAGAAATCCCTCGATATCCACCCCAGCTCAGTGTTATACACACTGTGTGACCTTGACAAACTTTGGTTTCCTCATCTGTAAAACTGAAGCAACTATGATTTGATCATCTACCCTACAGGATAATTGTAAGAAACAAATGAGCTAATGCATAAGAAAACACGATGTAATAAAAAAACAAAAAAGTGCCACATTGATATTTCTTCTTGTTGCCACAAATGGAAAAGACTTCATTATTTCCCCTTCCTTATGCCAGTGGGCACTGTCCTCCCCTCCCAGCCCCAGACACTCTGGACAGTTGGATAGATGACCTCCTGCTCCTGTAGCAAGTGACCAGGTACTCCAGTTAACTCCCCCTATGCCTACCTTATTCTTTTTCCCTGAACATTGCTCCCAAAGAGTTAATGATTGAGCAGAATCCAACCGATAACCTCTGACCAATCTTTGAAGGGAACGAGCCCCCTATAAAACCAGCCCCTCAGGGCCATGCCAGGCGCCTTCTCTCCAAGCCAGTGTTTTGAGAGAACATCCTTCCACCATGAACTTCTCAGGAAAGTACCAGCTCCAGTCCCAAGAGAATTTTGAAGCCTTCTTGAAGGCTGCTGGTAAGTGCTTAGGAAAACAGCCTTTGGGCATCAAATGTTGGGATCAAAGGGACAGGGGCATTATACTTGTGGTTGCCAGAAGGGATGAACTTAAAATACTAACAGGGAATCTGCAGCAAGTGAAATAATCCAACTAGTGAGGCTCTGGGCAGGCATTCGGGAGCGGGTTGGGTCTCAGGGTGAAGAACAACAGAATGAGGAGTCAGATCTGAATGTGAGCCTTGGCTCTGCTCTTAATACATTCGGTGACATGGATTGCATCATCTCACTGCTCTCAATGTTGGCTTCCTCATCTGGAAAATGGGGATAATAATACTCCCTACCTCCCAGGGCTGTCAGGAGACCCAAATGAGATCCTTTGGCTCTTAGATGCCTTCTAGGTCTGAATGTCTGTTGTATGAACTAGGTCTACCTGATGACATCATACAGAAGAGAAAGGATACCAGGGGAATGATCGAAATTGTACAAAATGGAAATCACTTCAAGTTCATCGTTAACAACGATAACCAAATCCAGGTGAACGAATTCACCCTGGGGGAGGAGTGTGAGCTGACCACTCCCACTGGAGGAAAGGTCAAGGTAAGAATATAAGTTAATTCAATTTAGGGGCATGTTATTCATTAAGGTGCCGCGTGTTAGCCTCTGGGCTAAGCCCTGGAGGAGATGCAAAGATTAGCTAAAACTTGGTCCATAACCCCCTGGAGTAAGCTAGCAGCCTGCTAGGGAGATAAGACACAAACATATCTCTGTTAGCCAACGTGTTGCAAGATAGGTAGATTAGATGAAAAGCAGTCTGGTGGAATATGGTATAGAGGACCAGCCAGGAAGCAGTGCCTCCAGCCCATGCTGGCTGTGTTCAGTAACTGACTTGTCTCCTTCATAACCCAGCCTCCTCCTACATTTTCAGTCTTCTCACACCTTACTCCCTGATACATACTCTGCCATCCAGTGACCCTGGCTTCCCAGCTGTTCATGAAACGAGACCCTCCATCTCTCAGCTCCAGCATTCTCCCTGTCTATCCCCCATGTCTGGAATGCTCTCACTCCTCCGCTCAGACTGCTGACTCTGCTGGCTTCCTTAAAGTCCCAACTGTAATCTCCCCCCACTCTTCTACAAGAAACCTTCCCCAACAGCGCGGATTTTCAAATATAGCCAATACTCAACAGACGCTCAGCTTCCTTAAAGTCTAACTCATATGGCAATCTTCAATAAACCTTGTTTTGAGCTGAAAAAAAAAAAGACAAACAACTTTCCCCAACCGCTTAGTTCTAGGGCCTTCCCTCTGTTAATTATTTCTCACTTATCCAGTCTATAACTTGTTTGTACCTGTTTGCTTATTGTTTCCCCATTAGATTGTAAGCTCCTTGAGGGCAGGGACTGTCTTCAGTACTTAGTACAATGTGACACATCTTAGACGGTTAATAAATATTTATTGACTGACTCACAGACAGCAAAAGGAAGAGAAGAGAAAAGGGGAGAGGAGGAAAAGTAAGGAAAGGGCTAAGAGAACTAGAAAACAATCCAGCCAGTGAAGTATAGAAACAAGAAGTTCTGCAGGGAATCTGGCTTGGCCACTTACTCGAGGGGTGTGCTGGAGCCAGCTGAAACCGGCAGGAGAGTGTCATCGCATTGTTAAATTTTGAGTGTGAGCATTTACCCCTCAGAAACTAGTAAACACTACAAATCGAGGACTGATTTATTGTTTTATTGATTGCCTACTTTAAAGTGATGGAGAAAGTGTTAACACTGCAAATAATACTCAAATGTTAATACTACAGATTATAATGGAAATTTGTGTGTACATTTTTTCCCTCCAGAAAACCAGTTGTTGCACATTTACCAGTGCATCCCTGGCTCACCCCCAGTCCCTAGGGCTTGCTAGAGCTAACTCTTCTGTCTCCCTACAGGGTGTAGTGAATCTAGAAGAAGGTAACAAGCTGGTAACAATTTTGAAAGCAATGAAGTCTGTCACTGAACTGAATGGAGATATACTCACCACTGTAAGTGATCAGGTGTTTCTCTTCCTGCTTGGTTGTGGGGGATGGATCCAAAAAGCATTTGGAGAACATATACTAGGTGTCAAGTACTGGGGCTGCCAATAGAATAAGGGAGGCAGTGCCTGCTCTCAAAGAGGAGGGAAGAGGGGATGAGGGAAAGACAGGTGAGGGGATGGAGGACAGTAGAGAAGAGGGAGAAAAGAGGGGAGGAGAGAAAAACATGGAGGACAGCAGGGATGGAGGAGGGAAAGGGGAGGAGGTATTGCCCAACACCCTGAGTAAAGAAGCATGTAACCTTTATGGCAGACTCCCAGGGAGTTGGGTGGGTGACCCCTAATGCTCCTTTCAGCTAAAAATCCATGATCCTATCATCCCTTCACCCCCAGTCACCTAATCCTCTACCCATTCCTGCTAATCCCCCTTCAGGCATTAAACCCTTTTCCAGCTGGCATCTCTGTCATCCTTACACTGTGAACCTTGCTGGGATTATTTATATTTTTAAATGGGGCCCTCGAAGACCCCAAAGACAGCCCTCCCCAGGGTTCCCTCAGGAGGCATGGACAATCCAAACAAAAACCCAGAAAGATTGCCAAACCTATCTCTAGTATATCTAACATACAAGAGTCATTGATGGGTATCACATGCTGATATACTGCAAGACATTCCAGGAAAGATTAACACTGGATTTCTTCTTGGCTTTCAGACCTTTACCTTGGGTGATGTTGTCTGCAAGAGAATCAGTAAGAGAATTTAGACATGTCTGCTTTCCATTTATTTTTACTGTGTGAAATTGGTACAATAAAATGTGGCTTGTTAAAAAAATCTGTCTTTTGAATGACTTTACAAGCATATGTTTATTCAAGGTTTTAGTGATGCCTTTTATTCTTACATCACAACCATTTCTGAATTCACTGCACCTGCCCACCCACCCCCAATGAGCCTCACCTTACAACAAAGAAAAGCAGGCAAGCAAAACCAAACAACAAAGTGACTCCATTTGCTAGTATATACACCCTTCTGCACCCATTGTTACCCACCTCTCCAAGGAATGGAGGGAGCCAGAAAAAGTGAATAGTTTGAAAGATTTTTGCAGATTATCATTCACCTAGAAAGAAATGGTGCTCACTTTGGCCTTGATGGAATAAGTTGTTACCTTGTAGGGTGATTTTAGGGGGGCTTGTGACTCATGTCCCCCCATTCCTCACCAACACCCCCACAAGCACCATTATTTCTATTTCCCTAATTCTGTACCTAAAATGCCTAGGTAAGAAACATACCTTTAGATCAAAGTATTTTGAGTCCAAAAGCTCTTGGTTACAATGTGTGTATGTGTGTGTGTAGGTGTGTGTGTATGTGTTTTAAATGAGAAGGGTATTTTTTAGACCAGCTATGTAGAATAGGACCTTGAAGACACCAGCTGAAGGACCCATTTTTCTAGTAAACAATGAGGAAGATTTGGGTTATGAAGCTCACATCTGAGAGGGGAAGCCTAATTGAGGAGCACAGCCTTAACTTCGGCAAGGCAAGAGGGCCTGGGTCCCAGGATTTAAAAGGACAACATGCAGTCAGCTCTGACAATCCTTTGGCTGCATGAGAACCACAGAGATGTAACCTGACTTACAGAATCACAGAATTTCAGGGGTGGAAGGAATTTCAGAGGCCATCTAGTCCAAATCATAGCTGAAGAAGAAGATTCCCTCTACATCACACCTGATAAATGATCATCCATAATTTGCATGAAGACCTCCAGTGAGAAAGAATCTGCTACCTTCAAAGCAACCATGTCTCTGTTTCAGGCAGCTGGTGATGTAATGCTTAGGGTACTTGGCCTGGAGTTAGGAAAACCTGAGTACAAATCTTGTCTCAGATACTTCTTAGCTGTGTGACCCTGGGCGAGTCACTTTGCCTCAGTTTCCTCATCTGTAAAGTGGGTTTGATAATAATAGCACCTGCCTCCCAGAATTGCTGTAAGGATCACATCAGACCATGTTTGTAAAGTTAGCAAGTGTCTGGCACTATATAAATGCTTATTCCTATCCTCTTTTGGATTGCTCTAACAGGCATTTTTTTCTTACATCAGAAAGAAACAAGAATAATCTGTGAAATTTGGAAGCTATGATATGGTTGGCTTGGGTAACCTCCTTCTCTCTTCTATCTTCCCCACCATCCTATGTGGCAGCTTCCTCAGAGTAACAACAACAATAATAACAACTAATATTTATATTATACTGTGAGGTTTGCAAAACTCTCTCAGGAGGTAGGTGCTATTACGATCCCCATTTCACAGATGAAGAAACTGAGACACTGAGAGGTTAAGTGAATTGACCAGGGTCATACAGTGTCTGAAGCTAGATTTGAACTCAGTCCTTCCTGACTCCAGGTTCTGCATTCTAAACACTGCACCACTTTGCTTGGGCGCCTCAGTGCCTCAGGTTTGTTGCATAGACAGAGTTTTGTACCTCTTATGCCAGACTGTTGGTTTCCATTCCAGTTCTTTCTTCCCTAATTGCCATTTCTTTTCCATTTTTTTCTAGTGTTCTCATTTCATGTATAAAAACATTTCAACTCTTAAGAACAACAATAGCAGCAACAATAACTCTGCTTCCTCTCTTCGGGGTATTCTAGTTGAATTTGTACCTAAGCAGTACTTTTCTTTGGGGCTTTGCTGGTAAATGTTTGAGTCATTCTCTTCTTCTAGGTTTGTGCCTTAAGTACCCTTGTCATCATAACAGCGGTTTTGGGTGGGGTTCCTTTTTTTGTTGTTTACTTATTTTTCCAGACTATTTTCTGATTTCAGACTCTAAGTCAGGCCCAGGCTCTGCAAAATTCTAAACAGAAGATCCGGGCTGGTTCTGTTGCTGCTTCCTTGGGGTATGGAGTGTTATATAATTCCAGACTCTCAGGGATGACTCAGGATGGGGACCTGCAAACTTTCAATGCCCCAAAGTAGAGCCCTCAGATTCCAAATCTAGAATTTCTACAGTCACTAACTCTCTCAGCCCTGAGGTTCTGAGAGCAGTTTGCCCATCCCTCTTCCCATAATCAGGTTGGGACCATTGTCATTTTCTCAGGAATCTTCCTATGAGGAAGTCTACCTTTTTGTTTGCCTTGGCTGAACACAGAAAGCAGCAAAGTCTATTCACCTCAAAATGAGAGTGGTCATGGAAAATGGGTACAGACTCTTCTTTCAGAGCTCCAAAGTTAGGTGCCAAGTTAAAGAGACATTTCATTTAAGACAGTAAAGAGGGTTGGGGAAATTACCTGGTCAAGCACCAATAGACTTTTGGAGTGGGAAAATTAGGGACAAGGAAGGAAGGAAGAAGGGAAGAAAGAAAAAGAAAGTAAGAAAGAAAATAGATCTTCAAGAAGGATATTTTAAAAATTCAGTGCAGGATGTTGCATTGAAATTGATAGTTAAAGCAAGATTGATAAGGGTTTCTCATTCAGGTAAAACTTCAGCCTGAAAACTAAAGCATGATCCTAATATTATTATGTAATATGTAGAGGGCAGCTAGATGGTGCAGGAGACAGAGTGCCACGCTTGGAATCTAGAAAACCTCAGTTCAAATCTGGCCTCAGGCACTAGTTATGTGACCCTGGGCAAGTCACTTAACTCTATTTGCCTCAGTTTCCTCATTTGTAAAATGAGCTAGAGAAGGAAATGGCAAACGACTCCAGTGTCTTTGCCAAGAGAACCTGAAAAGGTATCACAAAGAGTTGGACAACCCTGAAAAATGAATGAACAAAAGAAAAGGTTAAAAGAAGCAAGAGTTGGGGGAGGGGAGAGTCTCAACTTGCTTCCATATAGGTATACCAGGACTTGAACTCAGGTCTTTGCCTGCAAATGTAGTACTCTTACCATTCACCTCAGAGGCCATCTAGTTCAGTCTGTCCCTGAACAAGAATTCCCTCTAAATCACAACCAACAAGTAGTTATCCAGCCTTTTTTTTTTTTGGTAGAATTCTCCTGAGGGGAGAGCCCACTACCTTCAGAAGCAGCACGTTCCACTTTTGGACATTTCTAGTTATTAGGAAGCTTTAAAAACTGTCTCTTTGCAGTTGCTGCTGACCAGTCCTAGTTTTGCCCCTGAAACCAGAGAGAACAAATCTAATACTTTCTCCATATGATAGACCTCCAAATACTTGAAGACTGCTATCATGCCCTGTCCCAAGTCTTCTCTTCTCCAGGCTAAACATCCCCAGCTCCTTCAGGAAATCCTGAGATGATGTAGACTTGGTCTTTCACCATCTGGTGGCCCTTCTGGTCATTATTCTCTAGCATCAGTATGGGTCCTCAAATGTGGACCTAAAATGCAGGTGCTCAAAATGAACACAGTCTTCCAGAGATGATCTGACAGGAGCCAAAAAACTCTCATTTCTCTAGGCTTGCATTTCTGTGTGCCCCCACCTAGCTTCCCAGAACTGAGGGAAAGAAGGATCCAACCTCTAGAGGTCGCTGCATGTGACATTATTGGACTAGTTAGGCATAGGGAGCTCATGCAAGGCTATTCCTTTATAAAATGTGAACATCTCTCTATCTCTCTTTGTATCGCTATCTCTGTCTTTCTGTCTCTCTGTCTCTGTCTCTCTGCTCTCAAATCCATAGCCTTCTATGGTAGCATGATTCTTGAATCTGCTTGCAGCCCCAATCTTGAATGACTGCATCTCTGCACCTTTGCCTACTGGAAGACAGCATGTGTCTTTGTTTCCTCAATTGCCCCTCAAATTCTCTCAAACTGACTCTCCAGATGGTGAATGGGATGTCTGTTTCTGGTTGAGCAGTCCTGTTTTCAGTGATTTGGTCAATGAGTTAAGGAGAAAGACTCCACTCCTTCCCCTTGCTGCCTCTAGTAGTGGTACAATGATCTTCTCCACAACTGCCTCAAACTGGCAAACTCAGGTTAGCTAAATAAAGCCTCCAAGAGTATGGCCAATCTTCAGCCAAAGTCTATGTCATTTTCCCTCCCGAGTCAATCAAGGAGGAATATTCATACTCCATGAATAGATAAAAGAGTGTGATTAAATCCTAAGACTACATGACTGGAGATGGAAGGGGCTAAGGAGGAAAAAGAAAAGGAAATCAAATCTGACCTCCTTATGTGTCCAACGTACAGCTTATTAATAACAATAGCTAGCATTTTTATAGCACTTTAAAATCTACAAAATGCTTTGCAGATATTATCTCATTTTATCCTAACGACCCTGGGGGTAGGTGGTATTACCATCTCCATTTTACAGATGAGGAAACTGAGCCAGACAGAGGTTAAATGACTTGCCCAGGGTTACACTACGAAGTTTTGAGGCCAGATTTGAATTCAAGTCTTCCTGACTCCAGCTCCAGCTCTCTATCCATGGTGCTACCCATTTGCCTCATGATTTTTTAGGGAATCTATCAACTCATATCATATCAAAATGTGCATGAAGTATCAAAATGCAACAGTGGGGGTTGGTCATGACACATCAATAATATTTTATGAACTGGCACTAATTCAATAGAATGCAAGCTCCTTGAAGGCAAGAATACATTTTTGTTTTTGTCTTTGTATCTCCAGCACTCAGTAAGGTACCTAGCACACATCAGGCTCTTGATAAATGACAATCAAATGGGAAGACTCGCAGTGACTCTGAAACCAAAGTCCCTTAAATCCTCAATGTATGACCCTCATCTGTAAAATGAGGAGTTTGAACTCAGGGACCTGCAAGGTTCATTTGAGTAACTAGATGCAGATCTAGGATCTAACGCTCTTCTTATGTGAGGTAAGCACTTCAAACTTCCTCAGGCTGATGCATATGAAAAGAGTTGGCTGATATTTTGTAAGCTG